TCCCCCCTTTTGTCTGATTCAGCCAAACAATTATTTTTAGGCTTGGATGGGAAAGTGTTGGGATTCTTATTAAGTAAGTCAGCAGAGTAAAGATTGAGAGACTGAGTCCATGGTGTGTTTGAATATAAAAGTTTACTATCAACCTAACATGGGGAAAAGGTGCTGCGGTGGCTCAAGTGGTTAAGACGCTGAACTGCAGGCTGTGGAAGGTCGGTAGTTCAGCAGTTCGAGACCTGAGTTGCCACATGACGGAGTGAGCTCCCATCTCTACTGCCAACCTAGCAGTTCGAAAGCAAGAAATTGCAAGTTGATAAATAGGTACCACTTCGGTGGGAAGGTAACAGCGTTCCGTGCACCTTGGTGTTTAGTCATGCCGGCCACATGACCACGGAAACGTCTTCGGACAGCGCTGGCTCTTCGGCTTTGAAATGGAGATGAGCACTGCAGCTCTAGAGTCGGACTCGACAGAACGCTGTTCCCTTCCCACCGAAGTGGTACCTATTTATCTACTTGCAATGTCTTGCTTTCGAACTGCTCGGTTGCCAGGAGCTGGAACTAGAGATGGAAGCTCACTCCGTCATGCGGCACACTCAGGTCTCGAACTACCAACCTTCCACAGCCTGCAGTTCAGTGTCTTAACCACTTGAGCCACCGCAGCTCCTTATAGCTTATATATAACATCCTTATAGCTACAGGTAAAAAACAGGAATGGTGGCGTCTCCTTCTTCAATCAGAACAAAGACAGGAAGAAGAAGCCAATATGCTAAGTACTTGACACACTGGTTTCCAATCAGACTAGCAAGTTAGCTCCAAAGTTCCCGGGCATTCTATTGTCTAAACCGATTGGTTACAAACAAACGTGACTTCCTGTTGATCAGAACAAACATCATTAACCCTGTAAATACTGAACTATTTTAACTTGTAACACCCAACAGAAAGTCCCTCATATGAAAACAAAAGGACACAGGGCAGACATTACACATTCCAATACACAGACTGCAATGGGAAAGAACTTCACTCCCTTTTGAGAGCTGAAGTTGCAAGAACATTTTTAACAGGGGTTCCAGTTGGCTACCAGAAAGAGGGGGAAAAAACCCTAACCTGCTTTGCTCTTGTGCATTTAAACACAGAATTAGCATTGTATTTTTTAAGGGAAAGGTCATTTAGTTGGCAATACTACTTTCAGAGGTGAAACTGTTTCAAGAACTCGTGCTAATAAGTCTGCTAGCCTATAAGGTGCCAGTGGACTCTTAATTTTGGACTGAACTCAGATTCTTAGGTCTTAAATTAGGGTTAGTACTGAAATAAATTGTCTCCATTTGACTTGCATTATAGTGCTACAAATCACCAAAGTATGTTGTCACATTCTCTCTGTCTTCCTCCTGATTTATGTCACAGCTCAACCCATATGGCTTTCCCCTCCACAATCCGAGCACATTTAATGCATCTGATGAAGTTGTATCTACGGCCCATGACAGCTTATTCCGCAACCACAGCCGTCACTCTTGTTATCTTACCGCTGCAGAGGAACACAATTACTCTTCAGTTAATGGGACTAAAGTGGTTTGAAACCAATTAAGCTAGTTTAACACCCTAATGGATGGGACTGTAAAAGCAATCTGCCTTAAACCACTTTAGGCCCATTGACTTCAATTGGCTTTAAATCCAATTACTTCGGCTGCATGTTGGGTTTGAATGGAACTGTTAATCTTTCCAGAGAGATAGCAGGGGGAAGCATTTAGCACCTGAAAGAGTTTTACATTCACTAAAGCAGCAGATTTAAACACAGATTCAAGGGGGGTAGCCATGTTGGTCTGAAGCAGCAGAACAAAGTCTGAGTCCAGTGGCACCTTTAAGACCAACAAAGTTTTATTCATGGTGTAAGTTTTTGTGTACATGTACACTTCTTCAAATACAATCAAAATGCAATGTTAAACGTCTTAATTATGCTGTATACTAATTTACTGCTAACGCTCTACCTTTAAGGAGCTGCGGTGGCTCAAGTGGTTAAGACGCTGAACTGCAGGCTGTGGAAGGTCGGTAGTTCAGCAGTTCGAGACCCGAGTGTGCCGCATGACGGAGTGAGCTCCCGTCTCTAGTTCCAGCTCCTGCCAACCTGGCAGTTCGAAAGCAAGAAATTGCAAGTAGATAAATAGGTACCACTTCAGTGGGAAGGTGACAGCGTTCTGTGCGCCTTGGCGTTTAGTCACGCCGGCCTCATGGCCACGGAAACGTCTTCGGACAGTGCTGGCTCTTCGGCTTTGAAATGAGATGAGCACTGCAACTCTAGAGTCGGATTCGACTGACTTTCGAGCAAGGGAACCTTTACTTTTACTCTGCCTTTATGTCTGGGCTGGTAATGTCCATTTCATTGTATCTGAAGATGTGTGCATACACACAAAAGCTTATATCTTGAATAAAACTTTGTTGGTCTTAAAGCTGCCACTGGACTCAAGATTTAAAAACAGAGCCGCATTGCTTTGGCTGGTGGTGTCTGTGGCAGGCATGGAAGTTCCATCATAAGCAATTGTCCTTTAATGAAGAGCATGGAGCAGAGGTCACTGGGGGTGTGAGGGGGAGGTAATTGTGAATTTCCTGCATTGTACAGGGGGGTTGGACTAGATGACCCTGGAGGTCCCTTCCAACTCTATGATTCTAAAGCCAACCTTAAGCAAAGTTTCCTTTATTGATGTTATTTATTATAGTCCACCTTTCTCCGTTGGACTCCAGGGCCATTACACCGAGTGAGTCAATTAAATCAACAGGATGGGAAAGTCAATAAACAATGAACCAATCAGAAATGTAAAAACCAGAAGTGAAACCAAGCAAATTGTTAGCAGGACACATTAACTGTAGCAAAATTACATAGTGCGATCCAAGGTACAGCAGACTATACACAAATTAATAACTTTGTGAACCATTTTGTCCAGTGCCACCCTCAATGCCTGCATGAATACGTTTTGTAGGGAGATAAATTCAGGTGGGTAGCCATGTTGGTCTGAAGCAATACAACAAAGTTTGAGTCCAGTGGCATCTTTTAGACCAACTGGGGCCCCGTTCACATGGCAAAGTTGCCACGGGAGAGGCATGGAAGGTGGGCGGATTATCCGGGCGCGATCACACCCCAACATCTGGGAAGTGGAGCGCACCCATGGCATACCGCCGACAATGCGCATTTAAAAACTAGTACCTCCAAGGTACTAGTAAATGTTTGCCACGAGCTGCCTCCAGATGCCCGTGGTGTGATCGCACTGGCGTGCGACATTCCCCTCTGGTTCCTTGTTTACCCGCTGGCGCCAAGGGAAGGACCTGTGGTGTGCCGCCGGCGCGTCTGATCGCGTAATTGCAGATCAAACTGCGCCGGGGCAATTAGCCATGCCTCCCCCCGTGATATCCAGCCTGTGTGCCCGGGGTCAAAGTTTAATTCTGGGTATAAGCTTTCATGTGCATGCACATCTTTTCAGATATGAGTATCTGAAGACGTGTGCCTGCACACAAAAGCTTATACCCAGAATTAAACTTGTTGTTCTTCATGGTGCCACTGGACTCAAACCTTCTTCTAAGTTTCGCATGGTTCCTGACCTACTCTGGCAGACCATCAGATACACCCTTCCAAGTCCCTCAGTGGCTTCAGAGGTGTGCAACTCTACTGTAAGGGTACAGTCCTCTGTACATTACTTGGGAGTAAGGCTTGTTGAACACAGTGGGACTTTTACTGTGAAAATAGGTATATCGCAAGAGGCCAATGGGTGGCTTGAGGCCCCCCTCTGCTGGAAAGCTACTTTTCCATTTGCAGTTACGGTTGCCAGACCCATTTGTTAGGATTGCAGGCTCCAGATTGGGAAATTCCTGGAAATTTGGAAGTAGAGCGTGGGGATGACAGTGGGAGAAGTGTTGGGTATTACAAGTTGAAAACACTCAATATATCTGGGGTTAAATGTTTATGTTACTCACAGGAAGTCACATGTTTCTCATGTAACCAATTTTCTTTAGATGTAGAATGCCCGGGAATTTTCTCCCTGATCTAGGAATTTGATTGTGACTAAAGTGTCAAGGTGTATTACCATTTTATGGCTCTCTTCCCGTCTTTGTTTGGGGTTCTGAAGAACAAGAAGAGTAGCCATAATCTCTCTCTTTTAGTTTTGTCTTTGTAGAGTAAGGATGTAGTAGATTTTGCTCTGTTGTTATTTTCATCCCAGTTACCCTTCCCATACTAGAATTTAGTAACAACTTTATATTTTAAAAGGCGCTGCGGTGGCTCAAGTGGTTAAGACGCTGAACTGCAGGCTGTGGAAGGTCAGTAGTTCAGCAGTTCGATACCCGGGTGCCGCATGATGGAGTGAGCTCCCATCTCTAGTTCCAGCTCCTGCCAACCTAGCAGTCTGCTGGACTATCTTATCTCTGCTAAATATCATTTTTTCAATATTTCACTATCACCCAACAAGAAGCCTCAGCTGGGGGGAATGCTATAGAGTTCACCCTCCGAAGTAGCCACTTCCTCCAACGGAACTGATTTCTGTCGTCTGGAGATCAACTGTAATGTCAGAACTCCAGGCCTCACCTGGAGGTTGGCAACCTCATGTGTGTACGTTTGGACATCTTTCCCCCCCCAAAAAAAAGACCCTAAACGCGTTCACTTTACAAACAAAAATCAAGGGTGCCCTTTTGCACGAATTGTAGATGAGTCCCGTGTAACTTGTGAACGGGGCTAAATTATCTCGGCACGAACGGCGCGTTCATTCCTCCTCCTCCTCCTCTCCCCAAGAAAAAAATAATTCCATTCACAATTTTATTTTATTTTTAAGCTTCCAGTCCTAGCGGTGCCCGCGACCCTCTCGGATTGGTCAGACGGCGAGTTCCTAGTTTGAAACAAAAAAACAAAAAAACACCAACTCCGCTCGGGCCGCGGGTTTCGCTGTGATTGGTTTGTCGGGGGCTGCGGCCGGACCAATGAGAGCAGGGCGCGCGCGCGGGAAGGACAATTCGCGGCGGCTTGAAAGGGTTGTCCGCTTAGGACAGCGCGGGTCTTAGTCACTTTTCCGGCCGGACACCGAAGTGGTCTCGGGTGCCTGTTAATTCTTGCTTGGCGGCGACATGGTGCGGACCAAGGCCGACTGCGGGGGGACTGGCGGGGCTTACCGGAAAGGTAAGGGGCTGCGGGGTGTGGGGGTTTTATCGGCGCCTGGGTTAAGGCTGCTGGAAGAGCAGCTTTAGAGCGTTGCAGTAAAAATAAAACTGGGAGTCTCGAGGCGCTGGAAAGAGTACTGCATGTTTTATTCTGAATTGTAAAAAGCGTTGTTGCTGAGTTACAGAGCGTCTAGGAACGCTTAATCAAAACATGTTTTCAAGAGCCCCTGGGCTCCTCTTTGACGTTTAAGGTTCTTTACATGTTGAATATGACTTACTTCCCAGTAAACACACCCAGGACTTCGGGATCTGTTTGAGGCTTTAGCTGGTAGCTCAGTTTGATTCTATTTTTTTTAATCCAGCCCTTTGAGGTGTTCAACCTAATGACTGGGCCCAAACTTGTTCAAAGCCTACAATACCTTGAGGATTTGAACTGGAGTGCCACAGTTGTTATAATGCTATAATTGTTAGGCATTCTTGTCTGCATAACCCGCAGTGTTTTTGCATCTCGAGTGTGTTTGTAACATTTTCCTGCTTCTTGAGCTTCTCTGGTACCCTGCTTCAAGGCTGTCTTCAGTAAGTGCCGTCTTACCACTGTTTCCAGCGAAGGTCAGCCCTTGCACATCTAGCACTAGAGTTTTAAGGCACCCACAGCTCTGTTAAAATCCCAGAATCATTCAATGTGCAAGCTAATTTGTAGTTGGTGGGTAGCTGTATTAGTCTGTCTGTAGCAGTAGAGCAAGAGTCCAGGAGGCACCTTAAATACTAACACAATTTGTGGCAGGGTCGGAGCTTTCATGAGTCACTGCTCACTTCTTTAGAAAGGGATTGTAGTGGATTTTTTATTCTCAGTCAGTTTGTGTTGGGTGATAGTGAGATATTGAAGAAATGGTATTTAGCAGAGATAATATGGTCCAGCAGTGCCAGAGTAAAATAATTCAGGCTGAGAGTCCATGTGTGATTACTAAATTCTAGCATGGGAAGGGTAACTGGGATGAAAATAACAGAACATAATCGGCTACATCCTTACTCTACAAAGACAAAACTAGAAGAGAAGATTATGGCTGCTCTCCTTCTTCAGAACAGCAAACAAAGACAGGAAGAGAAGCCATAAAATGGTAATACACCTTGACACTTGACACTTTAGTCCCAATCAAATTCCTAGATCAGGGAGAAAATTCCCCAGCTTTCTACATCTAAAGAACATTGGTTACATGAGAAACGTGTGACTTCCTGTGAGTAACCTAAACAAACATTTAACCCCAGATATACTGAGTGTTTTCAACTTGTAATACCCAACAGTTTGGTATAATGTTAAGTCTCCTGCATTTAGTGAGAAAGATGATGTCTGTTTGTACTTGTGCAATTTTCTTCACAATGCTGATTATTTCCATTCTGTATGGCTAAATGTGGTACCTTCTATGGAGATAGATCAACATGGATAGATGTGTTAGTCTCTGTAGCAAAAGAGCAAGAATCCAGTAGCCCTTTAAAGACTAACAAATATTCTGGCAGGGTAGCAGCTTTTGTGAATCATTGTTCACATATCTGAAGAAGTGAGCAGTGACTCTCGAAATCTCCTACCCTGCCACAGATTTGGTTAGTCTTTAAGCTAAAATTGTTATTTTTGTGTGTGTTATGTGCAATGTTCCCTCTAAGCTGTGGAGCCTTGTGAGCAAAAAAATCTACTTTGTGAGCCACTGGCATTAAAGTTATGAGCAAGCAATCTGACTACTGTATAAATTAGTTTGCTCTGGAGCCATCCTTCCTGAGCTAAGACAAACAAAATGGTTGAGCCGGAGGCTAAAACACTGTGAGCTAGCTCACACTAACTCAGCTTAGAGGGAACACTGGTTCTGTTTACCTGGAAGCCCAAAACCACTTTTTCTTTTTTCTAATCTAGTGGTGGCCGCTAGGGCTCCTCGGAAAGTCTTCGGCTCCAGTAGCGCTAATGTGGACTCCTCTCCTTCTTCGCGGAAAGGTGAGTGTGTTTGGAGCTTTTGCTGGGTTCAGTGTTTTGGATGTGTACGACAACATGGCAGCCTCTGAACCTTGTGCGACGGTCACGTTCACGAGGAAAAACAGCACCTTGGTAGATGTGTAGATGAGGTCCCTCATTGAAGATGGCTGCTGGCTGCTCTTCTCCTTTCCAGCATCTACAGAATATGAAAAATTGTCCACAGAGCAGTAGCTGTTCTGTACACAATGATCATTCCCATTCTGTGCGCTGTGCTCTCTCTTAATGTGCCCTTTAAGGACTTCAATTGAGGCTTTTGTGAGCTCAAAGCACAGCTGCTTATTATGCTTCCATTCTATGAGTCACTGTTTCTCCATTGCCTGTTCTTTAGGCCTCTGCTGCCAACAGGTATTTATGCGCCAGGTGTGAGCGGGATCCTTTTGCTCACTCCTTCATGCAGAACTGCCTGATTTCACATTGCACCTCTATAGCATATGCTTTTAGATTCCCAGTTTAAAAAAAAGGTAGGAGACCGCAAACCCATGCAGTACTTGGGAGAGCTGCAGATTTATCGGCATTAAGTATTACTTCCACGGTTCCACCATGACTATCTGGCTAGGATTATCTCCAAAAGTTACAGAGCATCTAGTGTCTTTCCTCCCCCTGGTGAACAATAACATTGGGCCATCTTAGATATCACCCAAGCGGCTTGCTGGCTTCTCCTGGGCGTTTTTGGGAGTCTTGTGAGTTTTGTAAATAAAACCTCCTTCTCTCCAGTCTCTCAAAGGCAGAGGTACTGATGATTATATTACTGGGTCCAGTTGCACTTTAAACTGCTCTGCTAACCATAACATTATAGCCAAATGGTAATAATGTAGTGCACTTAGCAAGGTGGCCTGATTTCTTTACCATCTGGTCCCAGCTATAAAATTATTACAACATTACCTGTAGTCCAATAAATTGGTATATCTTTTGTAAGATATTTCTTGCAATGCTTTAAACGACAGAGTGGACAATGAGGCCTGTTGGCTGTAGAGTTCTGATTACATGTAATCTCAAACAACAACACACTCTGTCTGTGGCTCTCCTACAAGATAATGGCTTCTACATTTTCTTTCAATAATGACTCTTGCACTATGGAATCCGGAGGTCCAAGGGAGTGGGATGATTGTTAAACACCCTTTATCCTGCTCAGTATATATCGCTATGGCTAACAAGTCCCACTAGTAGAAAGTTACCCACATTGCATCACCAGCCAGGAATGTGGTGAGTTGTTTCATGTAGACCAGGCCCCAGTCTTGGACTGGAAGACTATGTAGACATGGTCTTCAGTGTGATCTTTGGGGGCACTGATGTATTTTGAATTATACTTTTGCAGCTGAAAGCAAGTACGCAGGGGGCAATCCCGTCTGTGCGAGGCCCACCCCACCGTGGCAGAAAGGAATTGGAGAGTTCTTCAGCCAGACCTCTAAGTGCTCAGAGAAAGAGAACCAGGTCTCCGATGAGGAACCAGGATGCAGCGGAATAGGGAAGCGTAGGAGAAAGTAAGAAAGGACTTCTCTTGACCATATTACATTTTTTTGCTATGTTGGCGTTCAATTGATCAGTAAAATGTGGCTAGATCATGGGATCCACTTGCCACTTTCTTAATTTGGGTGAAGGCCTGTGGGAGAAAATCTTCATCTGAAGCTTTTTAAGAAGCCTTGCCGAGTTTTACTTCTTAAACGTGACAGACTACTTGAGAGAAAATTGCCTACAGATTTTCCTGTTCATCTCATCTGTGCTGGCAATGAACTTGGAGTATCCCTTTCTCTCCTTCTAATTAACATAAAGCATTGACTCACCCAAACATTTGGCAACATTTGTCAGGTCACAGAAAACATCAACCTGTTCCCAGTAACAAGTTTCTGACCTGAAATGACTGCCTGGTGAAGACCCATTCTGTATACCTGAAAGCATTTTTTTTTTTTTTTTTTTTTTTTTGGGGGGGGGGGGGCTCTTTGTGCTACTTTATACTGGGAATAAGATGTTAGGTTTTATGCTTACAGCTACAGGTAAACAGGAGGAAACGGTGGCATCTCCTTCTTCAATTAGAACAAAGACAGGAAGGAGAAACCAATATGCTAAATACTTGACACATTGATTTCCAATCAGACTGTTAAGTTAGCTATAAAGTTCCCGGGCATTCTATTGTCTAAACAGATTGGGTACAAACAAACATGTGACTTCCTGTTGATCAGAACAAACATCATTAACCCTGTAAATACTGAAGTGTTTTAACTTGTAACACCCAACAGACTGTCTCATAGGAGTCTTGTTTCATTCTTTTTAATGAACTGCCTTTTAAAAAAAAAATGGGTTCAGTTAGTTTCCAGGCAGCTATCTTAGTAAGGCAATCTAGCAGGTGACTTCTGTGTGAAGACTGAATCACAAGGGCTCTGAAATGCTGATGTGGTTTCCCCAAGCTTATCAGACTTAATCAGTACATTAGTGGGGGGGAAAGTTTCCTGGCATTCACTTTCAAATGTATTGCCTGAGGCCATTTGTCGCATTACAAAAGGCTTCTCCCGGTTTGTTTAACAGAGCGATGAGCCATCAGCTAGGGGGTTGATTCATTCCATTTACAGAAGACTTTTACACCTTATGGGCATGTCATTCCCAAATCCTCTTAAGAGTCAATTCAAGATAAAAGGCTGATTCACTTTAATCTGGGACACTTTGTGTGTGTGAAGTGCCCAAGTTGCTACTCCAGCAAGGGGCTTTCAAGGCAAGTGAGAAGCAGAGGTGGTTTGCTATTGCCTTCCTTTGCTGGTTCGTGGTTGGTGGTCTCCCTTCCAAGTACTAACCCTGCTTAGCTTCCAAGAACTGACAGGATTGGGCTATAGTGCAGCACAGCTGTCTTTCCTCCCCCACTTCACTTTAGTGTCCTCCTAAATGGGGCCAATTATTTGAACACTGCAGTCTGTAAGGCCATTGATTTCAGCTGCAATGAACTCTGCATAGGGTTGAACTAAAAATGTAGCCGATTGGAAATGTGGGACACTGAACGGCTGGTTCTAAAACAGATTGGGACAATCTGTATGGATAGCTTGGTGTGTGTGGAATGCAGCCATCTATCTAGAAGAGGGCAGTTCCCAAATCTCTACTGCCATGGCCCCATTTTTGTATTTGTGGGGGTTTTTTGGGCCTGGGATGCTGAGCATGCAGACAAGGAATCGTTCTGTCTGTCCCATTTCAAAAATAGCCCTGGGCGTAAACTTAACGCCACTGCCACTCTGTCTCGGAAGACAGATTCAGTTTCTAATCTGCCGCGTATGTATAGCATTGTAACCTAAGGCCATACGCGGCATACGGTATTGTAATGCTGCTGTGCTGGGCAAAACTGTTGAATTGGATTTGAATTGTGGAGAAAAACAGGTTGCTTACCAGTAACTGGTGATCTTCGAGTGGTCATCTGACCACAAAGAAGATCAAATGGTATTCTGCACCAGACAGAAGACAGTCTGGCAAGCTGGTAGGGAGACCGGCCTATTTACATGTAGCGCACACCTCTGGCTTGGCAGTTCTTCTCCCTGTCCTGGGAATGAGACCTGAGTGAACATTATTTAAAAATATTTGGGGTTCAAAGATTCCCTACAAGCTGCCCTGACCTGGATAGCCCAGGCAATTCTGTTTCGTCAGATCTCGGAAGCTGAGCAGGGCCAACCCTAGCAAGTTACTTGGAAGGGCGACCTCCAAGGAATACCAGGGCCAGGACTCAGAGGCAGGGAAATATCAAGGCACCTCTCTGAAACGCCCTAGCCCCACTAGGGGTTGCCGGAAGTCACCATGCATGCGCCCACATACACAAATACCAAAAAATATCCCCTACAGGCTGGAGAGCTTCTCAACCAGAGTATTAATGGCATTGCTTCTTTCTCTCTTACAGGGCTGTCCCTCTGCCCCCTTGCCCTGCTGCACACGACACCTCTGACGATGACCAAGTATGAATCAATCGGTTCCTGCCTCTTCCTGTTCATTGATTTTGCCACGTGCTGTCTAATGAGGCTTTGTCTGCGTGTACATCTGTATATATGCGGTCTGAATATGGGTCTGTTCCAAAAGCATGGCAGACTTAACTTTGTTTACTTCAGACATTCTTAATCTAAAGCTTGAGTGCTGGCTAGGGAAACTGGGAGAGCTTGTCAGTCCTAGAAGAACAGCTGCCGATGCAATAAGTGGTGTTTCTTTCTGCACTTGCTGACTTCCGTGCCATAATGTGTTAAAAACTATTAAACTTTTAAAATGAGACATAAGTTTTTCTGGTTGAGGATGTTTATCATGGGTGATGGGCCCTAGCCTTTCTTTCTGGGGCTGCAGAAGTCTGACATGAAAAACTTGAACTAAACAAAAGAAAAGAGCAAAAGTCCAGTAGCACCTTAAATACTAACAAAATTTGTGGCAAGGTATGAGCTCCCGTCTCTGGTCCCAGCTCCTGCCAACCTAGCAGTTCAAAAGCAAGAAAGTGCAAGTAGATGAATAGGTACCGCTTCGGTGGGAAGGTAACAGCATTCCGTGCGCGTTGGGGTTTAGTCATGCCAGCCACATGACCACGGAAATGTCTTCGGACAGCACTGGCTCTTTGGCTTGGAAACGGAGATGAGCACCGCAATTCTAGAGTTGGATTCGACTGGCTTTTTGAGGAAGGGAAACCTTTACTATGAGCTTTCATGAGTCACTGCTCACTTCCTCAGATACAGCTAGAAAGTGAGTCCCTCTGTCCTAATTATTGAGAAGTGATTTCAGATGCTGAGTGCCATTAATAGGCAAATGACAATAGCAGGTGAGTTCCTTTGTAAGAGAACTGCTGCTCTTAGGTCATCAGTCCTGGACCTAGAAGAGATTAGATTTATATCCCACCCTTTACTTGGAGTCTCAGAGTTGCTTACAGTCTCCTTTCCCTTCCTCTCCCCACAACAGACACCCTGTGAGGTAGGTGGGGCTGAGAGAGCTCTTTCGAGGGCTGCTTTTGAGAGAACAGCTCTGAAAGAACATGTGAATAACAAACATCCACTTACACACATAAAACATACAAAGAGATCAGTATATTATCTTTTGCCATATTCAAAACTCTATTGCCATATTTAAAGAATTTCTATAAATTTGCTTAAGTTTCTGTATACTCTTATCTTTTTACCATAGTTTCTATTTAACTAAAAGAGATTAATAATACCAAAAATTTCATTACTTTAAGCTATGCATTTATATTGTACCAATCATACAGTTTTTTCCACGTCTTTTGAAATGTTGGGTCTTACAAAGGAATTTCAAAGGGAGATTAGAAAGAGAGACTTCTGAACTGCAACTGATAATGAAGCTCAAGACAATGCATTCAGCTGGACTGAATGGAGATCTAGTTTTCCTGTCTCGTTACCAGTGCTGAGTTCTCCACATGTACTTACCCCTCTGCATATCAAACCTAATCCAGTCACAACTGCTAATGTCATTCGACATCTGAAATCACTCCACTTTCCAATAATTAGGACAGATGGACTCACTTTCTCTAGCTGTATCTGAAGAAGTGAGCAGTGACTCACGAAAGCTAATACCCTGCCATAAATTTTGTTAGTCTTTAAGGTGCTACTGGAGTCTTGTTCTTTTCTACTGCTACAAACAGACTAACATGGTTGCCCATCTAAACAAAAGAAGGAAGACATAGACCATTTTCCCTGGAAGAATTACCTGCAAGGCGATTATACGGCAATACTAAATTCACTTTTGATAAGCCAGGTTATGGTACAGAGAAAACATGAAACAGCAACATTAGAAACATAATATATTAATGCCTGTAAACAGTATTTCTTCCAGCAAGAGTTAATGTACTTTTGAAATTATGAGTCATTCATGCAAATGCTTAGTTTTTTATGCTACTACACAACAGTAGACACTGTCTTCATATAATAAGCGTAAACATCGACTAACTAGTGTATTATGTTCTAATTGCCATCAAGCCAGCTGTCTGTGGAAGAATAATATGGCAGTTTGGAACTGCAGTTGTTTCTCGGGAGGGCTGCTGAGAGGATTCCAAAAATGGGAATCTTTGGTTTGTTCTAATATGAGAGTAGATGTGGAAGTGTGTTCTCACGGAAACTGAAAAACAGCTTTGTTAAATATAGAAGCAGAAGAGATTGGATTTATACCCTGCCCTTCACTACCCGAAGGAGTCTGAGCGGCTTACAATCTCCCCACCCCACAACACACACCCTGGGAGGTGGGGGGGGGCCCTGAGAGAGCTCTTTTGAGGACTGCATGTGGAGAAGGGGGGAATCAAACCTGGTTCTCGCAGATTAGAGTTTATGCTCCTAACCACTACACCAAACTGGCTTGTAATGTGCCATGAAGGCCTCAAAGATGGAATAAGAAGGCTTTAGGAAATATAAATACTGGGAAATTATTGAGAACTTATTCAATTAAGATAGATTCAGGTGGGTAGCTGTGTTGGTCTGAAGCAGCAGAACTAAGTTTGACTGCAGTGGCACCTTTCAGACCTCAAAGTTTTATTCAAGGTGTAAGGTTTTGTGTGCATGCTCATGAAAGCTTATACCTTGAATAAAACTTTGTTGGTCTTAAAGGTGCCAGTGGACTCAAACTTTGTTCTTATTCAATTAAGAACTGTGATCCAGCAGGACAACTATGATAAACAATAAAATTTAGGAGTAATATTTAGTGTGAATAGCTGTATAGCAGAAATATTTATCCACTTAATGCATATTTACCCTAGAAGCTCTCACCCTGCACACCAACTGACAATTAAAGACTCAGCCACAGGTTAACACCATGTAATCACAGAAAAACTTCACAGTGATGCGTAAAGCCACAAAGCGATTGAGCAAAGAGATAAAAAGACATTTTCCAGCCAAATCAACCTAAGAGCTTCTAAGGTCACCTTAATGTGGCCGCAAGTTGATTGACTTAATGGGACTGTATAGGTTTCTGCCCCCCAAGCCTGTCCAGGAATGAGGGGGGAAGCCCACACTTTTTCAGTACATTAAACAACAACCCAGAGAGGTATGCTATCCTCTCAGGATTTCAGAACAATAAGCCACCAGAATCCCTTTTTAACTAGTCCCGGCTTTTCCCCAAGGGAGGGATTCCAAACCTTTAGATTAGCCCCTGGGACAGAACACACTAACACCTCCTCAGAGATGCACACTTAATACTCAATGGTAGCGTGTGGCCAGGTAGGCACAGGAAATAGGCTTGGAATCTCCATTACAACATCAAAGACCATTTAAAAACAAGGTTTATTCAGTCAGAGCTTAGCAATTAGACCATAAGGATTTCAAAACAAAGGCTAGGGCAACGATGTTGGAAACAAGAAAGAATTCTAGAGTTAGAAGAATGGATACAAAAAACTTTGTTTATGGCTGAGATGGACAAAATTACAAAAAAATTGAATAATAAAGAAGATCAGGAATTCTATGAGGAATGGAGAGACTTTAAAATCTACCTAGAAAAGAACTGGGATGTAAAGCATAATCTATTATATTTAGAACAATATTGAAACTAGAATATGATGTTATCTTAAGGTATACTGGAGTGACGAGGGGGGAAGCATTGCGGGAAGCCACGGGGAGGGGGAGAGTAAAATGGGGATATTGGGGGTAAAAATTGAAATATTAATGAAATTGATGACATGTCAATATTTTCATGAAAAATAAAATTGTGTACAAACAAGAAAGGCTAGGGCAGTTTGCCTTGACTAAACATTAATAATTCATAGTTCCCACATGCAGGAGCTTCCAAGAGTTCAAGATTGTCCATTGTGATAATCCAGGTATCACCAAGGGATTTTGAGGAGGAAAATCCCCTCTTTGCCCTCCATGTGCTCTAGGGCACAAAGCAACCCTTTGTTCTCTAGCAGACAGCATGGCAGGACAGCATTTCAGGTGAACAGAACACCAGAGAGCACAGCAGGAGAAGAGAATTCTCTCATTAGGA